AAATCGATTGATAAATAACGAACTAAAATATAAAATAAATAATGAGATAATTATAAAAAAAAATAAAATATAAAATATAGCATTAAATTAATCAAAAATTGCTGGAGAAAAATAGTACGCGGTTGAATAAATTTTTAGAATACTAGACACCACTAGATTTTACTATTATGGTTTTGATTTAGTATATTGGAGGCCCCAGTAATACGTGTCCCATGGCAAACGATCAAAATATTAGAACTTTTTTGAATAATTATTTACATAATTTTTTTGGTTTTATAAAAATTATTTATTTTCATCATATCGTGGGACAGTTATAGGTTCAAAAATAATAATGCAGTAAAATGATGCTATTGTATTAATAAGTTACCAGTTAATAATACAGAATGAATACATGCAAATTCATTAATAATTATATTGATTACAATGAAATGAATGAATAAATTAATTTATAATGATATGATTAATCTTCACAATCAGTTTCAATTGAAAAATCAAATTTTACTGATCCCATCGACTGTTGTGAAAATCTATACGCAGCATTTTTCTTTACTATAACATCTTCATTAGTTGAATTTTTTTGTTGATATAAAGATTCAGATGCATTTTCTTTTTTAATACCTTCAATATTAACACTATGTAGTACTGATGATTCATCGGTTGGAGTTATAGGAATATCATTTAAGTCTACATTATTTAAGGAATCGGTGGCTTCATCTAGGGTATCAGAGATTTCTTCGTTATCTATGGAATCAGGAATTTCAAAGGTTGAATCATCTTCATTATCTATAGAATCAGGGATTTCAAATGATGAATCATCTTCATTATCTATAGAATCAGGGATTTCAAAGGCATCATTATTCATGATATCTATGTCTAAAGTTTCCTTACTGGGATGTTGCAATTTCGTTGTCAATGCTAAGTTTAAATTTAAGTAGGTAAAATTAATGTGCGTTAGTGAATTAAATTCCTATTTTCAACTTATTAAATTTACAATAGAGTTTTTCTTGAAGTACCTTTAGTATCATGAAAAGTACTATACAAAACATTATGTGGATGTAATCCTAGCTGCTGTGGCGCCTTTAAGAGTTCATCACCCCTTTTGAATTCTTTAGCAGTACTAGAATTTGGAACAAATAAACATTGATTCAACCATGTTCCAATCGTTGTATATATTTCGCGTGCATCTGGTCTCTTTTCTACATTACCACTCCAACATCTTTTCATCAAATCTGCATACGATTTTGGAGTGTTCATTGGAATATCAGGTCTCAATCCTGAAATAATATTAAACATTAAAGACGAATC